CAAGGGCGACTTGAGCCATTGTTTCTGCGCTTTTCCCCCTCAATCACACGCAACCGACATCAAACCGACAAATAATGACCAGGGGATTGGACGACCGACGATAGGAAGTGCAATGATTGGATGAAAAAAGATCACACAATTGGATTGGGCGATGGCAATGTCGCTCATGAACATATCATGAACATAGCGCAATAACACGATCCCATTGAAAAATATAGCAAAGCGGTTTCAGCACCATCATTATCAAACATTGCCTCGTAAGCATTCGGTGACCGCAGCGTCAAAGCAGACGATCGAAGAGTGGTTCCGCGGACTTTGCACTAGGCGTGCCTACGACACATACCAGAAACAGTTTGAGTCCTTTCTGCAAGCACACAAGGCGGGTAAAGCACCCGAGACAGCCACGACTGTACCGATTTCTTCCACCAATTGTACACTCGTGGTATAAAGGCGAGAACGATCGACGTTGCCAAGTCCGCTAGTGGCGTATTTCAACAGCTAGCGCGTGTCCCCCAACCCCGCGCAGGGCGCCGTTGCTCGTCAGTACATCGTTGGGTTACAAAAGTTCAACGAGAAGAACAGTGTCGACGAAGAGAATAAAGCTCAATCGCTTACGGTGCACGAGCTCTCAACTCAGATGAACGGGCTGTCCGGGCTTCATCCCTTCGTTGGATTTCTACTTCGTCTGTGCTTTGCCGTCGCTTTTCTTGGCTGCTATCGTATCAGTGAGGTCTTGAATCTTCGTCACAACGACGTTCAGTTCGTGTCCGATGACAGTGGCCGGTACCTTTTCGTGCGTCTACGGTGGCTCAAGAAGGAAGACGTAGTAGAGGACTGTCAAATATACCACCTCGTCGACGAGAACTCGTACCCTTGCTTGCGTGTGTGCACTTTCTATGACGAGTACTGTCGACCTTGCGAGCGACTGATGCGAACGTCGCGAACAGTGCCTTCGTGTTCCGCAACTTCACGATCCACCAAGGTGGAGTTCCGCGTGTGGACTGGCATCGAGTCCTTGAACAGTTGACGCTCAGGAAGCTGCTCTGCATGATTGTTCACATGACACCAAACCCCCCTTTGGAAAATCACTTCACAGCCTGCGTCGAGGTGGGGCATTTTACCGGGTGTTTGAGTCCAACGAGCGGCGCTTCAACTCTCGTGAGCTGATGGCTTGGTGCAGATGGGCTGACGCAAAAATGTGCTGCGAATACCTGGTGACACAGAGTTTGAGCAACGAGATCTACCCACGAAACCTGCTTCGTACTGGGAACACGCTGAATCGTGTGTCGTAGACTGGTTTGGGTGTTGGTGGTGGTGTCAGCGCGTCAGTATCCTTCTCCGTTGATGAGCTCGGCAAAGCCGTGGTCAAGAGTCTTCAGGAAGGCAGTGGTGGTAAGTCTGTTGGCCTACCAAAGCAACGATGCACTGTCCTTGGATGGTTTTGTAGCTCAAAAAACATACCTACTGCTCAGTCGAAGCTGCAAGCGTGGCAACAGTGGTTTGTGGCCGATCCTGGCGTTGGTCTCGTTTGTGCGCTGAAGGACAACAACAGCGAATGATTCGACTTGATCGGAAGAAGTACTCCGAACGATTGACCTTAGCTGCAGCATTTCAGAAGTACCAATCGTACGATCAGTTCTCACGTCGTACTCAGGGTTTACGGAGTCATACGCGCGACATCTCCGCGAGGTGCGTCGTAGAAAGCGGCTCGGATCATTGTAAAGTCATATGTATATTGCATTGATTGTCGGAGCGGAGCGACCAGGAGCATAGCGAGTCGGTGCCGATTTTTTTACGTTTGATTTCTTTGAAGCCGTTTTGCGAGAGAACTAGCGCGAATTATGCTGTACAGTGGGTCACAAAAGTCTGAATACCGTGTGGTCATCGATTCGGATTTCATCCGTACCTTCGTCAATTTTGTGATTTGAATTGCTGCAATTTGATTGGTAGATTGCAAAGGTTGTGGACAGTAGCATACTGACATTTCCACGACAAGATACGAAGCAAATTTGCGCCAAAATTCAAATATGAACTGACGTTGAGTGAATCCGAGGCACAAAAGTCTGCATACCCCTAACCCAACTTTCAAATTCCCGCGTCATTTCAATCTCGTAGGCTAACCATATC